GGTACCTCAGGGTAGCTGTTCGGGGGAATCGAACCCCCGACCTTCCGATCATGGGTCCACCACTCTACCTACTGAGCTATCCCTGCCCTGTTTAAGGCAGCCAATCAGAGTTTAATTGGCAACTTCAGTCAGTCAGAGAACCTGTTGGTCCAGATGGATCTGAAGAGGTCCAGAGATTCTCGCAGCCGATTGGTGGAGTTGTCCTCACGGATCACCATGTTGTAGCTGCTGCTCGCTGCCACGAAGATGATGGCGGTCACATCTGGACGCAAGTGCACACACACATCAAACTCCCTGCTGCTTTCAGGCTTGATCGATAAAGAATCAGTTTTTTCCTCACCGTTGAAGCACTGAATCCACTTCCTGCGTTCGTCCCGCTGTCCTCCTACATCAAACATACTGACATACACAAACACGGTTAGAGCTGTCTGTCAGCATCAGTGATGCGAAGGTTACTTTAAAAATGTATTCCACTACAGACTACATGCCCCAAAATGTAGTTTGTAATTTATTCTGTTACGTTACTCAATGAGAGTAACGTGTTTTGAATAGTACATGAATGTCCTATTGCTGTGTGATTTATTACTATTACTGAAGGTTACTCTCCATACCAACACCAACTAGATGTTTAAATCTTAATATAAATGAGTAACAGTAGGTGGACATTAGGTAAGGCTGCACTTTTTGCAGCGATCTCGTATAGAAAACTATTCCTATATAAACAGGTCCGCGGCTCCGAACCGTAGTAAAGGGACCTCTGGCTAATACGTCGGGTTCGTGTCGGGCTCGTAGCTGAAAACTAGCTTTACTTTGTTGTCTGGGTCAACTTTGCTAGCGAGAGACAGAGAGAGGCGTTGAAAGGCTGCTCCAACGGAACTTATTGTTTCGGAGGAAAACACGAACACAGTGTACAGTCGAGTCTTAAGTATTATTGTCAAGGTGATGAGTAGTCGAGCAGAGCCTGGAAAGCTCTGCCTATTTCCCCTCATTAAAATTTTTTTTTGAATAATGATTTTTAAAATTTTTAAGATTAGGCTTCAAACTTTCCTTTTTGCTAAAGCATATAGTTAGGGCTGGACCAGGTGACCCTGAATCCTCCCTTAGTTATGCTGCAATAGACGTAGGCTGCGGGGATTCCCATGATGCATTGAGTTTTTCCTTTCCAGTCACCTTTCTCACTCACTATGTGTTAACAGACCTCTCTGCATTGAATCATACTTGTTATTAATCTCTGTCTCTCTTCCACAGCATGTCTTTATCCTGTCTTCCTTCTCTCACCCCAACCGGTCGCAGCAGATGGCCCCGCCCCTCCCTGAGCCTGGTTCTGCCGGAGGTTTCTTCCTGTTAAAAGGGAGTTTTTCCTTCCCACTGTCGCCAAAGTGCTTGCTCATAGGGGGTCATATGATTGTTGGGTTTTTCTCTGTATCTGTATTATTTTAGGCTCTACCTTACAATATAAAGCGCCTTGAGGCGACTGTTGTGATTTGGCGCTATATAAATAAAATTGAATTGAAAAATATTTCTTCACATCATTATCTGGGCCGCAAGTAGAGGTGACATGGGCCGCGAGATTGAGACACGGGCATTAGAGCCTCTTAATGCGTGTTTTGTTTGGGTTTCCACTGTGTGTGGAATTACCAAAAATAGAGAGGCCATAGCCTAATATATGACACAGGGAAATACCGCTGTGTAATCCATTTATTTCAACAAAGTAACTGTATTCTGATTACCACCTTTTAAAGGGTAACTGTAATGGAATACAGTTACTCATATTTTGCATTTTAATACGTAACACCGGTACATCTATTCCATTACTCCCCAACACTTGTCAGCAGTGCATTGTGGTTATTCATCAGTGATCTACAATCAGGTTCTCTGATGGGGCTTATGGTTTTCTTTAGGAACAAGAAGTAATTAAGTAACAAAGCAAACATAGCCAATCTGAGCCATGAGCTTCCCAAATACAAGCAGTATATTAAATGCCCGACCAGAGAGGAGAGGACATTAGACCACTGTTACAGCACGATCAGCGGGGCCTATCGCGCGGTGCCCCGCGCTTCACTCGGACTTTCTGACCACGTCATGATCCACCTAATCCCCGCGTACAGACAGAGGCTGAAGCTCTCCAAACCTGTCGTGAGGACCAAAAAACTGTGGAGCAACGAGGCTGTGGAGGAGCTTCGCACGTGTTTGGAGTCTACAGACTGGGACACAATGAAGGCTGCTTCTAACAGCTTGGACGAGTTTACGGACACTGTCACCTCCTATATCCACTTCTGTGAGGACAGCATTGTGCCATCACGCACCAGGGTGAGTTATAACAATGACAAACCCTGGTTTACTCCTAAACTCAAAAAGCTGTGGCTGGAAAAGAGAAAGGCGTTCAGAAGCGGAGACAGGGACTGCTACAGAGAGGCCAAGTACAGGTTCACTAAAGAAGTGGACATTGCTAAACATCAGCACTCTGAGAAGATGCAGCAGCAGATCTCAGAGAATGACTCGGCCTCTGTGTGGAAAGGTTTTAGGAATATCACCAACTACAAGCCTAAAACCCCCCACTCCACTGATGACTTGCTCTTAGCCAACACCCTTAACGACTTCTACTGCCGTTTTGACGAGCCATCAGGCAGCCTTCACACCTCCAACGGCCCCAACAATAGAGACACTTTGGACACTCATTCCCCCACCTCTCCCCCCTCCATAGAGCCATCACCACCTTCAAACCGTTCACCTACAACACCCCCCTCCTCACCCCACACAAAAGAGGATTTCACACCACCTCCTCCCACCACAACTCTTCATATTCATGAAGCAGATGTGAGGAAGCAGTTTAAGAGTCTGAATGCTCGAAAAGCTCCCGGCCCAGACGGTGTGTCTCCTGCCACCCTCAGACACTGTGCAAACGAGCTGGCCCCAGTGTTTTCTGGCATTTTCAACTCCTCACTGCAGGCATGTCATGTGCCTGCCTGCTTCAAGTCCTCTACCATAATCCCTGTCCCCAAGAAACCTAGGATCACTGGACTAAATGACTACAGACCCGTGGCTCTGACATCTGTGGTCATGAAGTCATTTGAGCGCCTGGTTCTCTCCTACCTCAAGACCCTCACGGCCCCTCCTGGACCCCCTGCAGTTTGCATACAGAGCCAACAGGTCTGTAGATGACGCCATCAACATGGCTCTACACTTCATCCTGCAGCATCTGGACTCCCCAGGAACCTACGCCAGGATCCTGTTTGTGGACTTCAGCTCTGCCTTCAACACCATCCTTCCAGACCATCTCCAAGGCAAGCTTTCCCAGATGAATGTGCCTGATCCCATCTGCCGGTGGATCACTGACTTCCTGACGGACAGGAAGCAGCATGTGAGGCTGGGAAAGAATGTCTCGGACTCCCGGACCATCAGCACCGGCTCCCCTCAGGGCTGTGTTCTTTCTCCTCTGCTCTTCTCCCTGTACACCAACTGCTGCACCTCCACCCACCAGTCTGTCAAGCTAATCAAGTTTGCAGATGACACCACCGTTATTGGACTCATCTCGGACGGGGATGAGTCTGCCTACAGGAGGGAGGTTGAACGTCTGGTGTCCTGGTGCAGCCACAACAACCTGGTGCTGAATGCCCAGAAGACAGTGGAGATTATTGTGGACTTCAGGAAGCACACAGCCCCCCCATCATCCTGACTGACACCCCCATCACCTCTGTGGACTCATTCCGCTTCCTGGGTACCACCATCACCCAGGACCTGAAGTGGGAGCCCACCATCACCTCCGTCATAAAGAAAGCCCAGCAGAGGATGTACTTCCTGAGGCAGCTGAAGAAATTCAACCTGCCAACACGGACGATGATGCAATTCTACACTGCAATCATCGAGTCCATCCTCACCTCCTCCATCACCGTGTGGTACGCTGGAGCCACTATCAGGGACAAACAGAGACTGCAGCGTGTTGTGCGCTCTGCTGAGAAGGTGATTGGCTGCAGACTCCCATCTCTGCAGGACCTGTACACCTCCAGGACACTGGGGCGTACAGCTCGGCTCACAGCTGACCGTTCTCACCCTGGACACAGTCTGTTTGACCTGCTCCCCTCAGGCAGGAGGCTCCGGTCCATTCGCACCTGAACCTCTCGCCATGAGAACAGTTTCTTCCCCTCTGCTGTTGGACTCATGAACAATAACCGTATGACTGTTGGCACCACTAACATATGACCCTATGCTGTGTTCACTGCGTCTTTCCATGTTTGCACTGATCACCACCTGCACTCATGTATATAAATCTATCTACTTAGCACTTATTTTTATTTTTGTTTATTTCAGCGTTGTCTGACAGTATGTTTGCACTAAGTACCACAGCAATTTCTTAATGTTGTAAACCTGCTCAACATTGGCCTGGTAAATGGCCTGTATTTGTATAGCGCTTTTACTAGTCCCCTAGTAAAACCCTTTCTGATTCCGATTCTAATTTCCTGTCCGTGAAACTGTTCTGCTGGTCGTTCCACTTACTGGAAGTTGACTTTGTCCACCTGAAAACTGGTTTCAAAAATCCCTGAAGTCAGAACTCTGCAGCGCAGCAGGTCCTGCAGGAGGAGAACAGCGAGTCAGCAATAGGTGAGTCATGCTGGGTGCTGCTGTTTGATTGGCTGGTTCGTTACCTGGTCGGTGGGTGAGTAATCGGGCCTCCGAACTGATTCCAGCCGATTCAGGAAGCTGAAACACAGGATGAGATGATGATGAGATGATGATGAGAAGCTGTACAGGAGTGTTGTGATTGGTCCACTGAGATTGCAGAGTGTGTGATGGTTTGTATATCTTTATGAGGACACAGTTCTCTTTGCAGTGACAGTGCAGTAGCATTCAGGTGGGGCCTATGTTTGATTGTGAACTGACTACACCTGCCAATGGGATGCCTGAGAATCTTTGAGTTACCAAATGATACAGCCAACTTCTTTTGTAATTTAAAGTCAAACCCATGCTTCTTCAAGCTCTGGTCTCAGTCTCCACATTTATGCTTTTGAACCAAGTTGTAACATGAGTGAGGGTCAGAAGCGGTATCTGTGCTGAGGTGTGCCAGTGCCGGTGTAATGAAGGCCCTCACAAATACTGGAACATGTGAATGTGAGTGTCTTACTACTGAGCGCAGTCAATCAGCTGATATTCATTGGCACGCTCAAAGCACGCCTTCACACCGTCGTCCTCCCACAGCTTCTGAGCATGCTCAAAGAACTCCTGAAAGATCAAAAGTTTAGCTTTGACGTTTCCTGTCGAAGCATGATTGTGAATCCATCAGCATATCTGCAGGGGGAAAAGGGCGTAGACAACGAGGAAGAGACTGCACACTTTTTGGAGATGTGTTTTCCCTTACATCGTCTGACTGACTGGACGACTTCATATCAAAAGTGAGGAAAAGCAAAGTCAAATGTGATGAGGCCATAACATGGAGATTTTTTTCCCTGTGGACATGCTGATGGATGTTAGCATGATTGTGTTTCAGTAGGAAATATTTTGTGCTGTGTGATAACCTGTGATGCTGTAAACTGTTTAGTTGTGTTGGCTAAGAGACTCATTTAGAGCATAAAGTAGCACTGATAGCTGACCATCTGCTTTGCCCAGCTGATTGGCTGGATACACCCGGTGTTGTAGGGAAAAACTGGAGTGTCGGACTCCAGCCGTCGGTCTGGGGACTCAAACAGGCTCTCCACCTCCACACTCCTCGTATACAAACACCAACCTCACAGCTAACAGCTGTTTCAGTGCAGCACTTCCTGCTACAGACAGTAAAGTGGACAGTCTTTCCTGGTTTAACATGAACTCACTGCTGCGGCACTAAAGTGATCCTGTCACATTGAAACCTTGATCCAGTTCGGGACACAAAGGTAGTTTATTTCATTCATTTTCACGTGTTTGCCGTTCAAACCCAGGCTTCCTGTCTACGCAGTAGAATGTCACAGCTCTGTAACCCTCCGGCCACACTGGTATGTCAGTGGGCAGATGTTGTTAAACATGAACTCACAGGTAGTTGATTTTATCATTTAGAAATCATGTGGTGCTGACTGAAGGCTGGATGAACAGAGCTCATGTTGCTGGATATTACAGTAGCGTCCACACCTAATCTACTGAGGAGGAGCTGTGATTTCCACAGTTTAATATTTTTAGGGCGGCTGACACGTTGGCAGGGCGATGTCGGCTGACTGGACAGCAGTGACTGCGCCGTGAAGCGTGTGAGAGTGAAGCAACGCAGGAAGACATTTGTTTTGAGTCTGAGTCTTCAGAGACTCCACTGTTTGGATAATGAGGCCTCAGGTGATTCCCTGAGGCAGGTGTGTGTGCGGCTGAGGTGAAGCCGTTACATCATGTCATTAACATCATTAAAACAAACAAGATTTAAAGCAGGTCTCCTGGTGCTGCTTTAAAGGTGCAGCTCACCTGTAATCAGGTAAGTCTTCTCTTAGCTGCTGACGACTGCAGACAGCTTCAGCCGAGCTGCCTGTATGTGTCACACCTTGGTCTCACCTGGCCTGCAGGAAGTCCTGACCATTGGTCACGAGGTGACAATACGGAGATGTTGGATTAACTTCATCGCTTTCAGTGATTATTTATATTTCTGTGATGGCTGGAAACTTAAACACAAACTGATCTTTACACAGAGTGGTGAAGAAAATCCTTTTGACAATTCACACAACAATCACACCCCAGTGATGTCACCCACTTCAAATTCACCAGCGTCAACCTTTAAAACATAAACACCTTTAACAACTTCTTTCTTCCAGCCAGTCAAACGTTCACACGCCACACGACCTCTGACCGTCATGTGACGTGTCTGATTTCCTGCAGGACTGAAAGAAACTCGCCTGTTTATGCTTGCTGCGCCAGCTTTACAGGTAAGCAGCCTCACCTGTGTGTGTGTGTTACCTCAGTGTATTCAAAGTCAGACAGAGGACCGATGCTCTTGATGTAGTCCGCTCTGAACTGGTTACCAGGGTTACCCAGGGGAATGGGCGGAGCCAGAATAGTCATAGCTGACACAATTGTCTAAAACACACACACACACACACACACACACACACACACACACAGATTTGCTCCAGCTGTCCGTCACCACCTGTGATTAACCTCCAACTGGAAATTGTTTTTCAAATGTTTGAACCAATTACTGAGGTTCTGTGTTCGCCGTCATGTCACTCACCACGATGGCGTCCTTCACGTTCTTCCTGATGTCCTGAACCTTTTGCTGCTTCTCCCTGAAAGACCAACATGAAAACTGGCTCAGGTAAAACATCCTGATGCCTCAAGAGTCTGAACATGTTCAGCTGCAGTTTGTTTAGTCCTCAGTCTCCATCTACACCCAACATCTTGTCATTCAAGCTACACTCCACAAGCTAAAACTTTATTCCAATTCAAGTCACAAACAGAGACATCTGGGCGTCTCCACCTGTGATGATGTCATTATTAGAAATATTGATCCAAAAAACACTTATAATAATAATAATAATAATAATAATAATAAACACTTTGACATTAATGAGGGATTAAATATAGTGACTCCAGCATCTACCGAGGCCATTCATAAACATTAAGGATTTTTCACAAGCGGAAGACAGCTGACAGTTTTTGTTTTATACTTTGTGAAGCACTTTGTGATCTTTCTATCTAGAAATGTGCTATATAAATAACATTTTACTTACTGACAATTTTCCTAGGAATGGACATCCCAGCAAATTCACCCCAAAGACTGAACAGGTATGGACAGTTTGCAAAGCTGCATCGTATTAAACCAGAACACTTACACTTTTATACAATACCAAAGTCAAGATATTTGTTTTTTTATAATGCGCATGTTTGGAGAAAACCATGGTTCTGTCTAAGACCTATACATCATGCCTATTGGCCAGGGTTATGTATTTAACCAACCGCACTGCAGTCAGCTGATGCTTTAAAGCAAGTGGATCTGCTTTGTGCAGTTTCAAACTTTTCTTTTAGATGTGTTGGTTTAGCAGAAGCATAACTATATTTAAGGATGCATGAAAGTTTTCACAGCCAACCTTCATGTGCTTTGTGGTGTGGAAACAGGGTGTCCTGTGTCCTGCTGAGGGTGCATCAGTAGTGTAGGGTTAACTATCCAGTCCCTGTACCATATATGTTTACCTTACTAGCTATGTTCTGCATCCTATTCATTCTTGGCGGGCTCTGCCAGGCTCGCCTTTTGTCAGTCTGTTCATAACCTTAATGGATAGAACTTCATGGCGTATCCAAGTGATGGAGGGATCTGCTTTTATCTCTCTGCACTTTGTGGATTATGTGATTCTTTTAGCACCGGGTGCATTGGTAAAGCAGTGGGAATGAGAAGTCCAACTTCTGATTCTCAGATAGAAAAGGGTGCAGTGTCTACTGCACATGAGGGGCAGAGTGCCTAAGTCCCAGATGCACTGCTCACTCAATAACAGCAGAGTTTCAACCTAGCCTGGGATTAACATCAGCACAAAGACTGAGCCAGAAGCTTCATGACGTAGGTTTCCATGAGCCAACACCTACTGGTTATGTACACTGTGATGTATGCATGCGTGTACGAATGTGTATGTGCTAATGGCTTTAATAAACTCACTCAGCATTAAAGCCGTCCACATGAAGAATCCTCATCTGTTTGACAATGGTGCTTTTACCCGATTCTCCTGCACCTACAGTTACAGAGAGATGGATGGACAGATGCGATCCTTACAGTCAACATGGTCTTCCTCACACATAATATTCAGAAAGCTGAGCCAGGTTTTAGTGGATAAAATGAGTGGCTGCTTTTTTCTTCTTATATCACCTATTGGTGTAAACACATGGAGTCTCATAGCTTTCATGGGTGACGAGCTCAAGAGCTAAAGTCTGATTAGAGATGTCAAGTATTGTCATAATTTATTGTTGGGTAACTAAATGTTTGGCTAAAGTTCAAAATATTATACAAGCTTTGTCAGAGGACCCAAAATCTGGTGACATGACGGTGCTACTGTGACAAAGCCTAACATAGCCTTATTGTGCCCCATATTTGGAACTACTTTTTAAAGTTAATTCTGAAATTGCTCAAACAAAAATAGATTGAAAGAGACGGCGGCATCTCACCAAGCAGTAAGAGTCTGTGTGTAGCTTTGTACGTCTGTCGTTCCCTCTGCAGCTGCTTCTCGATCTTCTTATTTGCTTCTCTCTTTGCCTTTTCATCCAGTCGTTCTTCATCTGTTTTGCCGCCCAGACAGCCCATCTCAACTGGAACCATAGAAACCAGTAAGAACCGGACAAAGACCCACCACACAGCGCATCTTTGTTTTTTTAATGTGTGTAAATTCTTGAGCCATCCCTCAGGTTTTTTTTAATAGCTCGACTTCCTGGTGACTTTTAAAGTGGTCTTGAGCAGTTGTTTTTCAGGCTTTGAGGAAGCTCCTTTAAATTTCTTCTTTGGCTGCTTTTTCATTCATGTTTTTGACTGTTGGCTGACAGCTTGGCACATCGTAGCAGGGACGGCGTAAGGGGGAGAAAAGTCCACTTTAAGGATTGTTGACAGAAATAACATTGGTTTACCAACATTAGTTTTGTTTTCTTTTTGGCAAGGAGGAATAAATCCAGTTAGCTTCTGGCCCCGCCTCACCCCACCTCATTTCATGATTTGGTCCAGGAGCACGCCCCCCAGCTGATGCCAAGCAGTAAGACTGTTAGATGGCTCCATTAAAACGTGAAGCCTGGGATAGACAGACTAATGAAACTCGTAGTGTAGGAAGCTCAAGCAGTTTCTTCAGTGTTAGCTAGCTAGCTTCATTCCTAAAAGGAATGTTTTTGGTGTGTATGGGTCTGCATGTATTTTGCCGCTGCTCAAGTGCTTTACTTAAGTACACTTGTACTAAAAAGCAGATCTATGCTACGCTAGATCTTGGTTTTCAGTATTGGAGTTTTTTTAAAATAGAAATCTGATATCAGTAGATGAAAGTGTTACTGTGAAGAGCATTTGAAGAATGTGTATAATTGTTCCGAGTACTTTTACTTTAGATGCTACAGGTAGTTTATTTTTTAATTGAAATGCTGAGTTTAAATTGTAGAAGTTGTTTAACACAAACCAGATTTAAAATCCTTGCAGTCGTGTGGGGACACGGAGCCAAACAACGTTTCCTACACTGGATTTGCTTTTTCCTCCTGGAAACATCCTACATGGTGGATCACAGACAGCAAAGGATTTGTGTATTTGTGCTTTTACTCTTCTTCACAAATACTTTCTGGTCTTCACAGCCTGGTTCATGCCCGACAGGTCTCTCTGTCACACTCACGTAGATTTATAACAAGCAATAACAAAAACAAACCATAGAGGAAAAATGGAAATGGGTTTGAATGGAAAACGAAATCTTAAAAATGTAAATAAATAGTTTTCACTCTTATAATAAACTGATTGCTCTGAGATAAACTACATTCTAAACTGTAAATGAGCTGGGTACAGGACCCTAGCACTGATCCAGTTTAAAAGTCTGAAAGGTACCGACCCGTGATGTCTCAGCAGCTCAGGATCAGTCCGGCCATCAAAGTCCACGAAGAAGAAGAATACAGAGTTGTTGGCCCAGGTCCAGTTTCAGTCCAGTTCAGGCAGACGGAGCAGATTGCTGCTGCTCGGGTGTGCTCTTCTCTGAGTAGTGACACACCTGAGCAGCTCTCTCCCACCTGCCTCCCCTCTAAGGTCTCTAACGGTGCCTCATTAGGCATCTCCCCATCTCCTTTCCTTTGGGGGATCTTTGCTGTTTTTCCTCTTTGTCAGTTTGTTGCCTGACGACTAGTGGCACAGACACAAAAACAAACTGGTTTCAGGCAGGACTCTGTTGGACCAGAACAGACTCCAGTTCAGATAAAAGGTCGAAACTGATGTTTGGGAGGAAACTGGTGCAGGGATAAAACTCGGAAAGACAAATCTGAGATATTTCAACATGCGATGCGTTTCCTTTGTAACCTTATTGAAATAAATGAAGCTTTGGGAGATGACGTGACTGCAGTTTTTTCAGATTTAAAGCCGAGCAGCTCCTCGTACAAACACCTGAACTCGTTTTATTTCTTCAGCCATGCAGCGATATTAACATGTGGCTCACATGCAGTCAGTGTAATCTGAATCATAAATAAAGGTTTTTGTCCACAACCAACTGCAGCTGTTTTAAACACCAAACTGCAGAAAGCTCTGAATCTCTGGCTGATTACTCTAAGCTGCATGTGTGTGATACAGACCATAAACTGTTTAAGCAGCAGGGGCGCTGCTGCACAGGGACCAGTACACTCAGCGTTTCACCACCTGTGCAGGCTCAAGGAGCGCATCTCTTTTTTTTCTTTTTCTTTTTTTTTTTAAACTGTGGGCATTATTCCCCTCATATTTATTGCGATTATTAAAATATTTTGTTTGCGTTTGTTCTTTGGAACAGACATCATTTCTCAAGTGCTCCACCAAGTTTGCCTCCACCTGGTGGATTGGTTAAGTCACTGCAGCCTTTCAAACTTTAACCATGGCAATGAGCTGTTACCACTAAAGACAATAAGAAATAAAATATAAACAAATAAATGTCAGCACGTATCGATTATTGTAACGCTCTCCTTTCTAGGCTACCAAAGAAAAGTTTTAGAGGTTTGCAGATGGTGCAAGGCAGGCATGCTCTGTGGAGGTTTTTAAAGCTAAGTTGAAGACTCACTTGTTCATCCGATCCTACATGTCTTAATTCGCTGCCTTTAAAAAAAAAAAAAAGAAAAAAAAGAAGTTATTTTTAACTTATGTTTTTAAACGTGTATTGCTATGCATCACTTTTATTTATCTCTTTATTTTCAAAGAGGTGTACTTTGTCTGAAAGCACTTTATAAATAAAATCATCATCACTACTACAACAAATAAAAATGAACTCACTGACTTCTGCTCTTTGTTTTTATTTGTTGTCTTCAAATATATTTTGTCCGTATTCTGAGGAGAAACTTAAACACTAAACTTTGTGTTCTAACAAAAGAAACTGAAATGTGTCTCTCAAAGACATATGCTTCTTTACTGGCTGGATGGATGCTCCACCCCCGCCTCGCCACCCTCCGAAGACTTCAACCTGAGGTGACAAAAAACGAATCCTGAAGATTTAAAGTCTGACAAGTTAAAACTAGTCTGGATCAGTTAAGTGTAAGATTTAAAACAAAACTCAAACTCGATCTTTCCGTGTGAACAGGTGGAATCAGACCGACCTCTGCTGTTGTTCAGCGCAGAAGGAGCTGAGTCGCTGCATCTCAGACTGGAAAAAACAATTTTTGGATCAGGTCTTTAAAATTCAACCTTTGGTTTGGAAGAAGCCACAACTTTTCATCAGCTTATGTTTTTCTTGGTTGTTCAGTGCATGTACTACAGACTGATATATTCCTCAAATACACCTCACTGTCATTAGTAGTAGAAGTAGAGATAAGTTTCTCGGGCCCTGCCCTGTTCCCCACCACCAGTCCTCATTTGGGCCACGGTCACTTTAAGTTGCAGTGAGTTGTCACCACATCACCATGAAACGCTTCCAAAGTGGATGTAGCTTTAGGCCTGCTTTGACAATCTCAATGAAGAGAGCACTACAGATGTGAAAGCAGATGATAGAGTGTCAAGAGAGCAACTTTCAGGAGTGGCAGAGAAATGTGTTTAGAGATAAAGTTAAAGAGGCGAGGCAGAGATGGTTTGGAGATGTGCAGAGGAAATATCTTAACTTTCGGGGTTAAGCTGAGGAGAAATGGAAGCTTATGCATAAATGCTAAACATTTTAAAATAAAATTTTCAAACTACAACTTTGCAAATCAGAGGCCGTGATTTAGCACTCAAGTATTTGAGCATGTACACAGACTGTAGTATTACTGCAGTCTGTTGTAGTACCTGGATCTGAGTGGTTAAGGAGTTCAGGTTTGTTGAGTTTTCTTCAAATTGCTTCACCTGATCAGACACACCCTTTTCCAGCCTTTTTAGCAGCAATAACCTGCAAACACACAAACACACAGCGCTGTTTAGTCTGCTGTAGCTGTTGTTCTTTCAGTCTGTATTATTCTGTTTTTCAATTCAACTTTATTTATACAGCACCAAATGAGAACAGTTGCCTCAAGGTGCTTTATATTGTAAGGTAGACCCCACAATAATCCATACAGGGCAAAACCCAACAATCATATGAACCCCTATGAGCACTTTGGCAACAGTCAGAAGGAAAAACTCCCTTTTAACAGGAAGAAACATCCGGCAGAACCAGGCTCAGGGAGGGATGGGGCCATCTGCTGTGATTGGTTAGGGTGAGAGAAGAAAAACAGGATAAAGACACGATGTGGAAGAGAGAGAGATTAATAACAAGTGTGATTCACCAGAGAGTCCTATTAACCCACGTTGAGTGAGTGAAAGGTGACTCGAAAGGAAAAACTCAATGCATTATGGAAATCCCCCAGAGGGGCCTGAAAACTGAAGGCTCTCCCTCCCATTCTACTTTTAAATACTCTAGGAACAACAAGTAGGCCTGCAG